ACTGCTGCCTATGGTTTTCGCTATTGTTGACTTCTGCTGATCTTTCCTAAAAAGTTGACTATTCCGCCAATTGTGGAGTGGTTTGAAATTCAGTATCTTCTCAGCCGTGAAAATCACCTTCGACCATCAAGCATTAGCTAAATAAACGAATCATTCAATTATCCTTCGAAAGCCGTTCTCCTTTCATCTTTTGCTTCAGAGAGCTAACACGAGCGATGTTATAACCATGTAGCTTCAGCTTGTTTTCAACGTTGTTGCAGACGCTCCACTCACTGACTCCATGTTCTACGAGCTATTTTGCGCATCGAATGTTCCGGATTTCGTTGAAGTGGGTGGCGATCTTTTGAATGTTTTTTGGAGTAGACGATGTGGTTTGACGACTCTTTGCAAGACGATCCTCAATTCTTCCAGTTTCTCTGAAACGTATCAAGGCTGTGTAGACTATCGCTGATTTGAAACCAGCCACCTTCAACAATTTCGAACGTTTTCATTCTCGTCTTGTGCAGCTCAATCATTGCGATACGTTCATTTTAAGATCCATAGTTATAGCGCAAGGGAAAATTAACAAATGAATAAAATGATTCCACACCAGAACCAAAGAAAGAACTCGATAAAATTACGTTTATTAATTATTTGTTATATTTATTTCTTTGATCCGCCACAGAGTTTTTCGGTGTGCGCATCCTAGTACTCTAGCATTCAGTTCGTTTATCGTCTTTTTCTCGAACGGCGTTAAATACTGGTTGAGGGAATCTCCTTGTAGTCTCGAGGATAGCATTGCTGTGGCGTTCCATAGGACTGTTGCTGCTGACTGGCGGAGAGTTGGGAGATGGGAGAGGGGGAGTGGAGGGGACTCCACGCGGCCAACATCACAACCACCTGGCCACGGCGCCACCCCATCCAATAAAATTATCACAATTAATAGAGAATATCATAAAAAAGGCTAAAATTATCAAAATACAAAATTGACAGAACTCTTGCTGAACTCTATATATATGTATATATATATATATTATGTATATACATACATATAAATATATATATATATGTATATACATACATATAATATATATATATATATATAATTTTTCGCGGTAAATAATTGCGCTTTTAAATGGCGCGGAGCGTAGCGATTTCAGTCGCCATCCAGAAAGGGCGCAATTTGTTATTCAGTTAGAAATCTTTTCCCCGTTTTAGAGATTCAAATCTTATGTAGTTGTAGAAGAGACTTTGTCTGTCATCTGAAGAGGATTAGCTTTTTATTTTCAATTTATTTTACCCAATAAACTGGCTGAAATTTTCAATTAAAGAGTTAACTACCTTAAGTGCCAAAAGTACTTGTGTTGTATAGCGCTCTATAAAGATCTTTCTGGAATCCAAACAAGGAATCGAAATCGCCAAGAATTTTTATTCGAATAACCTTTGGATTGTCATAAAAAATCTGGCGAAAAGTCATGCAGAGATGCCAGGTATGCAAACAATAAACACCTGACGTAAAACGTGTTTCCTCTTCGCCGATACTACACTGCAGCGAAACGCCGTTTTAGAAATTAAGCCCACTTTCAAAATTGCAGTTTCTCAAGCTATTGAATGATTACCAAAGCTCTAGTGAAAATCTATGCCTGGAGAAAAAGTTTAACAAACACGAGTGCGCAACGCACCATACACTCCGAGACAAATCGAAGTTCTCTTGCTGCTCCAGCGCACTTAGAATGTTCGTCTAGAAACCGCTCTACTGTGAGAATAGCTTCAAAAAGAATGTCTGAAGCCTAAGCGACGTTGGTACGCTAAGGTCATACACCGGTGTTTCGAAGGTCTCGCTCTCCTCGTCAGTGACTCGAGCAACACATTGAGCCTTGCATTGTAGCAAGGAGTGGCGCATGTACAGTGTACAGTGACACTGATCCATCACCACTTCTCATTCGATGGATCTTGGCTGGTAGAACAAAACTAATTCATGGCATCGACTGTTTGATCCATGACATTGATATGATAACAAAATTGATCCATGACATCGATCAAAAACAGTTGATGCCACGTGAGAATAACATTACATCAGCTATCGAATGACTATAAAAATCTAGTGAAACAGCTTGCGCGGCGAGGAATTCACAAAAATACTGATGTACCATTTTTGTAGACTTGGTTCCAAAAGAGCCAAGCTGGGACTGTGGTTGATGTCACATTGTATTACTTGGCCCTCATTGGTTGTTTTGAGCACACGGTATCCCCGCTTACGGGTGACTTTTGAAAGCAGCCGATGCGATTGAAACACGATTATAAAAGAGCAAACCAAAGGCCTCGATGGTGTGCTGCGGTCACTCGCTGTTTCAGAAAAGTATAGTCCCGGTTCGAGTCCATTATATCAACATCAGATTCCCGATTTTGCTTGTATTTCAGCACTCTGGTGGTTATTTAGATCGAAATTACAATTAATGACAAAAATCTAACCGCTTGAATTGAATGAGAACCTAGAAGTGTTTCGATATCTCCTTCTTTCAACGCTTGCATACATATCGTTGTCGCCCAGTTCAGCGGAGCCCAGTATTTGTTGTGAACTGTCTTGATACTTTCCAAATTCCGTAATTCGTTCTCATGCAGGAAACCTTGAAAAAAGCTCTTGAATCTACAAAGCCTCGATGATCAAGCGGCAATAATTAGTCGAGAATTAAAACACAGTTCGAACCGTTCTTGATAAGTTTTTGTGCGATCTGAAAAATTTGCGAGCCTCACCTATTACTTCACATTCTTAAACATATAAATTTACATCGACTCCACTGCACATACCGAGAACTTATCGATAGACGTCACATCTGTCGTTTGCCTTCCATCTATGAGTTGTTTAAATGTGAATACGTATACCATCACACGTAGTAAACAGAGAGTGAAACGTGGTTCTCTATTTTATTATAATAAATATACGATCTTCAAGCATCGGTCCAAATCCTTGATGCAGTGGTCGAAACAATATGTGAAATGTTTCAAAGACCTTTAGGGCCGTGAATGAGAAGAAGTAAATCGGATCTTTTCTAAAATCCTACAGTATTTTTGGATTTCTATAATCATACCACATCATATTTTACTGAAAAAGTCAGGTAATGCTGCTGTCAAATGTCTTTATTCTTACCATCTGAACGTATAAGTCAAATTTGATATCAATTAGGCTTTGTTCTCCAGCAGCATTCTCTGCATAATCCACCAAGCATCCATTTCTGGGGATGGATACGGCCGGCGTGGTTCTTCTGTCTAGAGCACAGAAGGTGCATAACTCGAGAATCTGCTGCAATGGCCACGAGATGAAGGCAAGATTTGGAGAGAATCCTCGTTGCCTATGCAACAAGGCCAAATGTCGTACGAACAAGGGACTCCGGGTGGGTACACTCTTTCAGAACTCTAACATGAAGGCCCGCGTGGCGATCACCTTCTTCTATTTGTGGGCATGCGAGAAGACTGCCGCTGAGTTCTGCCACACCTCATTGGGCATCGCCACACTGACCGTGGTTGAGTCGATTATTAAAAACATTCGCGCGGATAGCGTCATTAAGCACGAATAGGTCGTCGGGGGTGGCGAAGGGCTGACTGTAAAAATTGAGAAGTTCTTGTTCTCTAGGCGCAATAACCACGTCAGCCATGTCCTTCTCCAGCAGTGGGTGTTTGGTGGAGCGTGCAGAAAACCGGAGAAGTGTTCTTAGAAAAGGTTCCTGATCGGACGGCTCAGACGCTTCTAAAGGTCATCACTCGCTGCATCGCTCCCGGAACGACCATCTAATCGGACAGTTGGAAGGCGTACAATCTGAATCAGAACCAGAAGGATAAGAACTATGAACAATCCCGCGTCAACCATCGCCACCACTTCATCAACCCAGAGACCAGCGCCCATACTCACACGATCGAAAGCACATGGAATCAAACCAAACGACGCAAGAAACGGCAGTGTGAGACGAGCCGCACTCTCCTCGACACCTATCTGGCAGAATTTGCTTGGCGACGCATGGTCAAAAGTCGGGGTCGGGATCCATTCGAGGCACTTCTCGAGTACATGGCGATGTTCATGCCGCCGGAAAACAAAGCCTAATTGATATTGATTTTGACTTATACGTCCAAATAGTAGGAAAGAAGACATTTGACTGCAGCGTTACCTGATTTTTATGGTAAAATATTGTGTTTAAATATGCTGTAGGATTCTAGAAAAGATCCAGCAAATCAAATGCGACTCGGATCTGTGGAGTAAAAAACTGACAGCAGGTTGTATAAAAAACATTATAACTGCGTGCATGACTAATTTCAGTTCAATGATCTGTCAATCCTGTCAAGGCAGAGTCGTATGCTATCTGCTATATCAGTCAGTCCTACGAGCTAAATTTTCCATGTATTCAAGGCCATGAGCTTTTGAAAGTAGCGTGTGATACAAGCTGAGGGCTGGTAATAGGTGTTCTATCTTCATGAATCTAATTCTATGCAAACCAGGCATATGCAGTCCCACACACCGACGAGGACGTCACACATGTGATAGGAGAGTCGTTGAAACAACATTTTCCATCCTTACTAGGTAACGCAGGAAGGCGGATTTTAGTGAATATTGGAAAGAAAGGCGTAAAAAAGACATTTCTTGGTGACTTCGACACCTTCGCCATTCCTAGCATAACACTGCAGATACTCGATATCTCAAAAATAGTACAGTACTTCTATCAATGTAGATTCGATGTAAATAACAGCGGACGCAAACGTTTTTGCACACCACTCTACAACATTGGGTTTATTCAATCCAATCCCGACTGACGCAAACGTTTTTGCACACCACTCTACATCATTGGGTTTATTGTAACATCATAATACCGCAATAGGCGGTCAAATAAAATGATTTCTGATTGATTATTGAAACCCAATATCTGTCAATATATGTGGGTTCAATGTCAACAATGACTGCCCCGCCACACCGTAGATGATTGGCTGTTGACAGATAATGAGTTGCAGCGTAGAGAGAGTGGAGTGCAAAACGAGCGTCGGTGGTGCAACGGTTTAGCACATGCTCCCGGAAAGAGTAAGATATGGGTTTCGAGTCCCGGTTGACGAAGACGTTTTTGCACACCACTCTACATTATTGGGTAAGTAACAGGATCATCGTAGAAGATGACCAAAGTATGGAGAACCACAGTATACGTTGATATAATGTCGCGGACTTTTCTACTAGCTGTTCACGCTGCGAATAAAGATTTGAGCATCAACACAAGCCTATATTTAACTTTTCGACAGCAATGACATTTATTCAGAGCAAGAAATTGAAAGCACAGTTAGCTGCCATCGTAAGCATGTGACGCAGTGGTTAGAGGTTGTTCTGCGTTAAACACGTGGTCCCTATATCCGGTCACACGTCGTGGATTTACCACGCCTTCCATACCTCCGGCGTAGGATAAGCGGTAAAAGATCTGTTTGAGAGTATAACTGCACTACACTGATACATCGTCAAACCACTGAAATGTCATTATATAGACTGCAGAGGCGTTCACTCTCCTCGAGCGATATCATATAAATCTGGGGTCATGAAACATACCTATAAATTAGTCAGCACTTGATGATTTGTGCTTTGTCTTATGATTAGGTGTGAGATGGTGGTATGAATTAGAAGGATATCAAAGGCAGGGTGAGAAGAGGGCTTCCGGAAGTGTTAGTTGCCATGAAGTCTTCATAGTCTTAGAGAGCCTGGAGAGCTTCTCATTCCCTTCGTTGTACTCTACATCGCGGGATTCAATAGCAAATGCCTTAGACATCAAATCGTCAAAGCCAGAATTACATTGGCGTTAAAGTGGAAAACGGTGATCTCAAAACTACATAAGTTCTTGGTTTTCCTTTTGCACACAAGACACAGCAATCTCCTGTTGATCGAGCTTCATGGTAAACTCAAGTGAAGAAAAATGTTAAAGAAAAAATTTGTACTTTTACCCATTTCATCTTGCTTCAATAGCTCTTTTCTTTGGAGGACGTCCCACCCAAGTTATGAATTATTTTGAAGTAACAATGTTTGTAGAAGTTTGTTCTAACAAACACGATAACAACGGACTTTTCTTCCATCACACACCACGATCATAAACAGTGCATAGTTAACGATGGATTCTCGTATCTAGCATCCTCATAACATCATGCTCAGTTTTTCTTTCCTACTTCATCAGAAGCTCTACTGCTGCGTAGAAAAGTTTGGTGGAACCTGAAGCGCAATCGAGCTAATGACCATGTGTGTGTCGCAGGCCACCTCCAAAAACTTACTATAAAAGGATAAAGGATAAAGCTCTCGGCGTTGATCAATCCCTGAGGGATGCGCCATGCATTCGACTTCAATTTCTAACTTCGTTTTGAGGTGATTGAATGCATATCTGGCCTTTACAATGACTCGCGGAGGCCTCCGGTGAACCGAGTCAGTGCTGCTTATCCTCCCAGATAAGTCTGAGACCTGTCTGGTACCAATTTACCGACCCCGGAGAGATGGATGGCTTGGTGAGCCATGAGCGCGAGATCGATCCATTGACCTCGTGTGCGACGCAGGGCACCTCTAACCACTGCGCCACATGCGCTCTCCTACTCTATGCCACTCAAATTCAGTATAATTGTAGTACACAAGGCGCTATTACAATTTACTGTGCAGATTCCAGTACATCTCACATTAGATTCGTTTCCTTGCATTCGTCCTTCAAAAGGCCTTCAAACATTCTACGTGTTGCTTGAGATTTCGTGTTCTTCATGAATGGCATAGAATGGTGTCAAGACTACTTTGCATCCAGTCTTCGAAGTAGTAGAGCTAACCGATTCTCCTTGACCCGTACGACAAATCAATTATTTCTGTGTAGGTTAAGTCTGTAGCACGAGGTTGGTAATAAAAATGTATCTGGCTAACGTTGCGACGCGTTTCGCCTTCTTCAAAGCGTAGGATTCGAGTCAATTACCCGCAGTCCTCGTTGTAACCTTCTTCTCATTGCCGATCACGTCGAATCTTTATCTATGGGTACCGCTTAAGTAAAGGTGATTTTTTGTTGATGATATTTTGATTTTTTCCCAGGACATTCATTCTGCGGTAGTAGTCAGTATTAACGACCGCTATAGAGCGTTACTATGTTATGTAGCTGATTCAAATTCAGCGTCGGCATAACTCAATCGTATTTTCTTCGTTGATTAGATCTGTAGCAGGAGGTGTCAATGTTAATTCGGCTACATTTCTATATAAACCATTGTTCTGAAAGAGAGAAAAATGCGTTTAAAAGTTGGCCGAATGAAAATTTTAATCAACAAATCCGCACTATAGGCTTAATCAACAACGAAAATATGTTGATTGGTTATGCAGAGGCTAAAGGAAGGCCGATTACATTTTTGATAATTCGTTCTAACCATTGATAATTCGAATTTTGCAGGATTGTTTGTTTGGAGTAACAGATAACTATCAACGGCTGAATAGCTATTAGCTAATTAATGCTTCATCCTACATATGGAGTTAGCCGGGCAAGGTTCTTTATTCCAGCAATGCTACCCTAGACCCATGCCCTTTACGGGAAGGTACAAATCAAGCAAAACGAAGGCGAATATCCACAATGAAGGCGATTCACGTTGGGCGATCAATTCAGATCGTCAGTTGTGAAGAGCACGAAACGCACTGATACGTTAGCCGAATAGAAAAATTTTTAGCAACGAGCTTGTGCTAAAGGCTCAATTAACAAGGAAAAAACTGACCACTGCTAAGGTCCACATGTTTCACATATTGATGATTTACTTCCAAGAGGCTTTTAGTCAAATCAATGCTCACCAAGCAATTTGCGCTTAAGCAAACAACGACATATCAGTGGACTCATTCAGTAGCTTTGTTACCTTCTTTGTCTCTTTGATGAGCTATATTTGGCTGAATCGCTGACAAAAACCAACATTTTCATTGTTTTATGCGTACTATAAGCTTTTATGAGAAAGTATTACATATTGCAAATACAGTTTCTCTGTTATTGTATATAAATTTTGAGTTGTAAATATTTTGATAAACAACCGTTTTAGATAAATGTATCAACTTAGTGCGTGCTGTTTTTTAGTTTTTGAATTAATGAATGCCTAGTAATATTATGCATGGTAACATTCAATCTGTGAGCCAAGTAGATTGAAGATATATCAAAACGTATGGATATAAAATGAAGCTAAGAGAGGCCAGATCGTAATATAGACCTTAACACATGCAAAGACTCTTTCTTGAAGCTTTCAGACATTTGAATCACCGAGAAGAACTAAAATTCACCTGCTTCAACAAGTGATTCCATGGTTGGAAATCTTCGACGAACAGGAAGTGATATGTCGCGAAACACCATTACCTGCAGAAAAGAGAATTAGAAAAAATACTGATTCATGTCTGTTGATAACTCCTCTATTGGTTGAAAAAATAATTGACTGGATTTGTATTCGTTTCTGCAACTATCTGTGAGCAGGCGTAGTTTCTCATGGTTCGGCTTCCATCCTTTATTCAAGAAACAATACAGTAAAAAGAATGGACCTAACACGGAATATGTAAGGCTGGCTCCTTCTACTCGCCATATTTCACAAAACAAATTATACATGTGAAGTACCCCTATACTTGGACACTGCAATGATCTGCCATATTCGCATTAGCTCGGTGTCAAAATAAACTGTATTCACAGGCCTCACCTGAGACAATGCACAGTAGCGTATTATAGTTCGCCTATATAGAACCACCTTCTTGGTGTTGCCTCTTAGGTATGTGGAGACAGTGAGTGCCAGGCTGAAGAAAAGAATTATAATGTGCGATTCAAAATTAAATGCGAAGAATCGCTATCTTGCTAACAAGAATGTAGTTACAAAAGTCCGCTAATGACTGTATCTGGTCAGGCGACGACTTGGAGCCTAAACACAGTTATTTGGACACTCCAGAATAAAAAAATCCTGCTCAATCAGCAAATTAGCGTTCAAAAAAAGTTGTGTCCTCCCAGGTTTGAAAGGTAGGCCATTCAAATATTATGAATCAAACAATACACGAAATTCAGTGACACCCTCACCCTTGCCCATGAGGAACAATAAAAACAGTCTTAACAAGCAACGAAATCGAAGAAATAAAAAGTCAAGAGACAAACTCCTGCCAAGATTCATTACTATATTCGATAAACACACTACTATCATAATTTCTTATTTAGCGGAAAATACTGATTACTCACTTTTCCATCCAACCCATATTCTGGAAAATACTTCTCCATCGATCAACAACGATTGTTACGAAAAATCCAAGCATAAACGTGAGCGGAATGTACTCCAGTCTCTTGTCACAGTATTCGGATATTTTTTCGAACTGTCTAAAATCACTTGACTAATATGGTGAGATGCGAGGAAAGATTGAAACTTGAGGTAACATCCAACCCGAGCTACCTGTTCCAAGAGCTCGTGTGTTATCCAAAAAGCCACTAAGACCTCCGCCCTGTCTTTCTCTCGGCTTGAAAGGCTTCGAACAACTTCACGTTCTGAGTTTTGCTCGCACTTTAGCACCTTTAGGTTGTATATTTTCACATCTCGCCTTGTCGTTAAAATAAAATTAGGCAGTAAGCAAAGTGGAGAGTTTCCATTTGACTGATATTTGATGCCCTCACTAAGTTCCAGTATGCAGAACACTCTGCTTTTGAAATCTGGAAGTGTTAAAATGCTTGGTTTGAGTCAGATGTTAATTTTCTTATTCGTCCATATCACACTATAATTAGCTTTATTACAACGCCTACAAATGAAAGAAGACTCATGTCCAGTAATATCAACGATCAATCAAGACACTCGGAGGATATTCTTTTGAGGTTTTTTTAAGTGCAGAATGAAGCTTCCTGATCAGCATCCAACATAATATCTAAGTGATAAAGTATAGTTGAATTCAAGAAATGTAGCTACAGAGTTCTCGAATGTAGAAGTCATACGGACTACAACCACATTTACAAATGGCTCTCATGTAGTCAAGTGGGTCGGGATGTGATTCACATTATTACTCTTCGACCACAATGCTTCACCGCCTCAAAGTGATGGCGTGATATTTTTGAGTGCTGCGATAAGTGCAAAATTGGGCAT